GAACACACGCTGTCCACTGACCGGAAGTGACATGCGCATGAAGCGGTGACGCGTTTCAGAGCATGCGCAGAGCTCCTTCTTGAAGACCGATCCAACGTAGACTTAGGGCCCCAGTGCCAGCCACCATTAGACATTCCACCCAGGAAAGAATCTTTGTGATGGACTCCAAAGTAGGGAGAGGTTTTCTGCCACCATCTTGGGTACATTCCTGCCTAAAGAGACAACATTACCCCTTTCTCAGAACCCCCCGAGATTTTTGTTTTTTGGAGAGTAACCAAGGGGGGTTGTGGTTGGAGAGAAGTTGAGGATGTGAGTGATACTGTCTCCTTTGTAAGTTGTGTTTTTGTATATGTGGTTTATTGCCTCTGTAGGGCCTACCCCTGAGGGAGTAAAGTGGGTAGCAGGGCACATCGGTGGACGATGCTGTGGAAGTATGGCAGCCAATGATGGATGATGTATAGGAAAACCGGTACTGAGCAGCACTTCTAAAGAGCGGAAGTAAACTCTGTGCAGAAGAAGATTAAACAGGAAGGCGCTTCTAAGTGCAGTTAAAAACACTTACAATGTGGTAGCATAAACAGGCTCTAATGTAATCCGTCAATGGCAGGGCTCTGTCCTCTAAGCGATGGAGCCGCTGTGCCAGCCAGCAGCTGCAAGGGGAGCTTGAGAAGAGGAGTTAAAGATGGCGGCAGCTCTGTCCAGGACCGCTGGAGCACACGCTGTCCACTGACCGGAAGTGACATGTGCATGAAGCAGTGATGCGTTTCAGAGCATGCGCAGAGCTCCTTCTTCAAGACCGATCCAACGTAGACTTAGGGCCCCAGTGCCAGCCACCATTAGACATTCCACCCAGGAAAGAATCTTTGTGATGGACTCCAAAGTAGGGAGAGGTTTTCTGCCACCATATTGGGTACATTCCTGCCTAAAGAGACAACATTACCCCTTTCTCAGAACCCCCCGAGATTTTTGTTTTGGAGAGTCTCCCCTTTCTTGTTGGGATTACAAAACTCTAAGAGGAGTGCTCCAACGTAGACTTAGGGCCGCAACGCCAGCCACCAACAGACATTTACCAGTGGCCAATGGGATAGTGGCTCAGTAGGGACCGTGTGTTTTAGCCCTGTGTGTATATCTCCCATGGTTAGGGTACCCCTTAAGTCAAGACTTAGGAGGTCAAAACTTTGCCCTTGAACCAGGTTGTGGTGTATTATTCAGCATACGTGATTCTAAAACTGTCTCCTTTGTAAGTTGTGTTTTTGTATATGTGGTGTATTGCCTCTGTAGGACGTACCCCTGAAGGAGTAAAGTGGGCAGCAGGGTGCGTTGGTGGACGATGCTGCGGAAGTATGGCAGCCAATGATGGATGGTGTGTAGGGCTTACCCCTGAGGGAGCTGCTGTTTTCCTTGGGTTCCCAGTGCCCATGTCTCTGAAAGAAGCACCACTCTCCCCGACACTCTTGTGGCTTTCAATGGCTTTAATGAACAGGCGAAAAAACCCGAGCAAAACAACCACCTATGATAATGCAACTCAATAGAGCATGTGAAGCAGCACACAATTGTAACAAGACAGGCAATATGCAAATCTGTTTTTAAGAACAGCAAACTATCTAGGGCTAGGGGTGTCAAACTGGCGGCCTTTCAGCTGTTGCGAAACTACAAGTCCCATCATTCCTCTGCCTTTGGGAGTCATACTTGTAACTGTCAACCTTGCAATGCCTCATGGGACTTATAGTTTGGCAACAGCTGGAGGGCTGCCAGTTTGACACCCGTGATTCTAGGCGATCAAACTGAGAGTTAAAGAAGCATTATCTAACCACTGGCTGGTCGGTCTACGAACACTTAGTTCTCTCTTTGGATCTCTCACATGAGAGTATTTATAATCCAGTGGAAAAAAGTAAAGGGTGCAAGGCTTCTCCACAGACAGCAACTTTAACCAGCAATGAAGAAAACAATAGCAGGGTCAATATTAAACAAGGGCCAGAGGGCCTCTCACCAATTCCAATGGTCCTTATGCATCTTCTTGAAACCTGGCCAGGGGTTATGGTGCATGCACAGAACTTTTCCCTCAACCCAGAATTATATGAAACTGCAATCTTCTCCTTCCTTCCAAATATCATCATCATCATCCCAATATTCCACAACCAATACCAATCCAGATAATTGGCTGTTATCAATGTTATCTGTCTACAGGTAAACCTTCATAGATGACAGGCACCAATGAGGATGGAGGAGGACCAGAGTCACATGACTGAGAAGATACTAAACCTCACCCTAGAGATCATCTACCTGCTGCTGACCGGAGAGGTGAGGAGGATTCTGGGAGGTCATATGACATCACTCTCATCTCTATTAATAAAACACACACCTGTCCGGAGAGGGTGAGGAGGATTCTGGGAGGTCACATGATGTCACTCTCATCTCTATTAATAAAACACGGACCTGACCGGAGAGGTGAGGAGGATTCTGGGAGGTCACATGACGTCACTCTCATCTCTATTAATAAAACACGGACTCTGGGAGGTCACATGACGTCACTCTCATCTCTATTAATAAAAAACAGACCTGACCGGAGAGGTGAGGAGGATTCTGGGAGGTCACATAACATCACTCTCATCTATATTAATAAAACACAGACCTGACCGGAGAGGTGAGGAGGATTCTGGGAGGTCACATGACGTCACTCTCATCTTTATTAATAAAACACAGACCTGACCGGAGAGGTGAGGAGATTCTGGGAGGTCACATAACATCACTCTCATCTCTATTAATAAAACACAGACCTGACCGGAGAGGTGAGGAGGATTCTGGGAGGTCACATGACATCACTCTCATCTCTATTAATAAAACAGACCTGACCGGAGAGGTGAGGAGGAGGATTCTGGGAGGTCACATGACATCACTCTCATCTCTAGTAATAAAACACAGACCTGACCGGAGAGGTGAGGAGGATTCTGGGAATAGGATACAACCTTACTGTTAGTGTTTTCTTACAGAGTTGTACTCACACAAAATCTGGTGACCATTGTAACCATCACAGTGCCTCCAACCATCACAGTGCCTCCACTCACTTGACACCTGAGAAACACATCAACAAGAAGATTCTAGAAGTCACCAAGAAGATGATGGAGCTGCTGACAGGAGAGGTGAGCGGTGCCGGGAATTCTGGGACATTCTCCAGTAACAGACAAGGGATGTGTCTGGATGGTGACTGTATCATTGTGTGTGTCAGGTTCCTATAAGGTGTCAGGGTGTCGCTGTCTATTTCTCCATGGAGGAGTGGGAGTATTTAGAAGGACACAAGGACCTCTACAAGGACGTCATGATGGACAATCAGCCGCCCCTCACATCACCGGGTAAGAGGAGACTTTATTGGAAAGGAGAGAGCAGTACGGAGGATCCACCTAGATCCCCCATCATCTGATAAACACATAGAAGCAATGGATTCAGTCAGTGTGTGTGTTTCCTACAGATGGATCCAGTCATGGGAACCCACCAGAGAGATGTCCCCATCCTCTGTATTCCCGGGATTCCACACAGGAAAGTCACACCATCCCACACCTTCATCAGGTAGATGGATCTAGTCATGGGAACCCACCAGAGAGATGTCCCCATCCTCTGTATTCCCGGATTCTACACAGGAAGGTCACACCATCCCCCACCATCAGGTAGATGAGGAACAATTATTGGTAGTTCTGATTTATACGTGAGGATGTTTGTTTCAGTATTTTTTTCTTATATATTTAGAGTGGAAACCTCAGAGATTATAATTTTGTTGTAAAAAAAGAGTATAAAGAGGAGAACAATGAGTATAGTGTGATGAAGGAGCTTTCTGAAGGACACAAGAATCTCTTCAAGGACATTATGATGGAACCACCTAATAAGAGAAACCCACCAGAGAGATGTCACCATCCTCTGTATTCCTGGGATTCCACACAGGAAGGTCACACCATCCCTCACCATGATCAGGTAGAAACTGAACAATCTCTGGTAGTTATGATTTGATACATAAACATGTTTGTTGCAATAATTAATTATTTTTCTATATTCAGAGTGGAATTCTAGGGGATTATAATATTGTTATTATCGAAGATTATAAAGAGGAGGATGGGGAGTATGGTGTGATGAAGGAGTTTTCAGATGTACGCAAGGATATTATGGAGCCACCTAATACCAGGAACCCACCAGAGAGATGTCCTCGTCCTCTGTATTCCCGGGATTCCAAACAGGAGGGAATCATCATCCCTCATCATCATCAGGTAGGTGGAGTTGAGGGTCGGAAGCATAAAGTGATGGAACACTCTGATATGTGGAGACGATGTGTGGACTCTACAAGATGAGATTTTCTGCCATTCTGTTGGTTTAGGGTGAAGATCTGATGAAGATGAAAGTTGAGGGTGAAGTAGAAGAGACGTATGTGAGGGATGATCAGCAATATACGGAGGAGGCTGGAATGAGGAGGACTTTCATAGAGGAGGACACTCCTACAGAGATCAGCAGAGGTGACCAGAATATATTCTTCTCTTATCTCTGCTCTGTTACCGCCCCCCCCCCCCCCCCCCAGCCTCCATTGATTCCTGCTCCTCTGACAAGGCGATGTAAATGTAGAAGTGATCTGGGAGGACCAAAGGCTCTTTGAAGAGGGGAAGAGTCCCAGCTGGTTGGGACATCCACAGAGAACATCTGCTCCCTCCTATCTCCCTGATCCAGATGGAATCTTGATGGAAGTGAACTAACCCTCTCCTATCTATTGATGATGTTTTTCTATTTTTCCAGGACCTGCCATGGAGAAACCCTCAAAGGATCGTCTCACTTTATCTCCAGGTTGTAAAATGGAAGATGAGGACATCCCAGGAGATTGTGCCGGAGAAAAGACAATGAGCTCCACTATGGATGGTGGACTTCCCAGTGTGGAGAGACCATGGGATCCCTCTGACTCTGAGCAACCTCATGTTCTGTGGGATGGTGCCGGAATTCAGGGGGAGAAGATATTTTCCTCTTCTGAGTGTGGGAAAAGTTTTAGCTCACAGCAAAGTCTCCTTGTGTATCAGAGATCCCACATGGAGGAGAAACCATTTTCTTTTCCTCAGTGCAAGATATATTTTTCACAGGCCCATCTTTCAAGACATCAGACATCTCACATGGACGAAAAGCCATATCTCTGCCCTGAGTGCGGGAAATGTTATCAACAGAAATCAGAACTTGTTATACATGAAAGATCTCACACAGGGGAAAGGCCGTATTCCTGCCTTAAGTGTGGGAAATGTTATTCACGGAAAACAGATCTTGTTAGACATCAGAGATCTCACACAGGAGAGAGAGAAGCCTCATTCCTGTCCTGAGTGCGGGAAATGTTTTCCTTACAAATCCGATCTTGTTAGGCATCAGAGATCTCACTCAGGAGAAAAGCCATATTCCTGCCCCGAGTGCGGAAAATGTTTTACATCAAAATCAGATCTTGGTAGACATCAAAGATGTCACACAGGAGAGAAGCCGTATTCCTGCCCCGAGTGTGGAAAATGTTTTTCACAGAGCCCCATTCTTACCAGACATCTTAGATTGCACACAGGGGAGAAGCCGTTTTCCTGCCCTGATTGTGGAAAAGGTTTCTCACAAAAGTGTTATCTTACCAAACATCAGAGATCCCACACAACCCTCGAGGTGTATTAGTGTCCTGAGTGTGGGAAATGTCTTCTATATGGATGATATGTTGCCGTACATCAGAGATCTCACACTGGGAAGAAGCACACCTTGATATACACCTCAGAAAACACATGGCTGAGCGCTCCTCTGATCTTTATCATGGAAGAAACACTTTATAAGGAGATCAGAGATCACTAAAGACTTCAAAGTTGTGTCTGGCTTCCTCTGCTAGGAGAGAGAAAGGGGGGGGGTGTCACTGCTGGTTGGGTCCCTCTAGCAGTGAAGTCTGATCTCCCCTGACCTTCAGCAGAATCTTCCATGGAGGACATGATGGTGAGAGAGAAGGGGGGGGGGGGGGTACTGCTGATTGGGACCCTCTAGCTGAGTAGTCTGATCTCCCCTGACATTCAGCAGAAGCTTCCATGGAGGACATCATGGTGAGAGAGGAGCTAGATCTTGCTTGTAGATGAAGAGAAGATCAGACTATATGACATGGACTTACAATTTTATATTTACATGGTCAAAATGCAAATATATTAACACATTTTTTAGTGTCAAACAAATGAAAATTAAAAATCTGCTTTCAGAAATGTTCTTCTCCTTTATTCCTTTCTCTAACACTACAAGTACGGCTCATCCTGTAGGTTTTAGTCTCCATCTTGTGTCTTAGTAGTTTGGTGTTCCCAGCTTGTCCTTGTTGGAACAGCGGACTCTTCCCTTTCTCATAAACCTCAGGACGTCTATAGTATACTCCAATGATAAGTCCATCAGTCCATAGACCCATCTATCATTCCACCCATAATTCCTCCTCTGCACCATCACCACCTCCAACCACAAGATCATCTTTCTTCTTCACTTTCACATCACATCTAAGAGAGAGAAACCCCCCCCCCATCTTTTCTATGTCCCATGTCCCTCTAAACAAGAAGATCAGCATGAATACCAACAGCCCAGTCTTGGGAGGAGCCAAGCTGTGTTCCTGGAACACCAACTCCATTCTCATCACTAAAGCCATCAACATCTCCTATTCTGCTCGGCAGGTTGCTCACTCGGTTACTAGTTGACTTTTCCTCAACTTTGTGTGTCTCTGTCCTGATTTTGACGTTGTGTGTGTATCTTCACATATGAGTTGCACCCATGTGTCCTCAAAGAGCTGAGTTCTGTTATTTCAAATTTTTACAGACACTTTAAATACTGTTTCGGTACCACTACAGAAGGCCAATGTGGTGCTTATAATTAAAAAGGGATCAAATTCTTTACCCAGTAACTACAAGCCAGTTAGTATAACATCTATAGTTGGGAAGATACTGGAGAGTTTAATAAAAGATCTCATGATGTCTGTAGTATACTCCAATGATCAGTCCGTAGACCCATCTACCATTCCACCCGTAATTCCTCCTCCTCACCATCACCTTGTTGGAACATCCGACTCTCCCCCTTCTCATAGACCTCAGGACGTCTGTAGTATACTCCAATGATAAGTCCATCAGTCCATAGACCCATCTATCATTCCACCTGTAACTCCTCCTCACCATCACCTTTATTGGAACATCCGACTCTCCCCCTTCTCATAGACCTCAGGACGTCTGTAGTATACTCCAATGATAAGTCCATCAGTCCATAGACCCATCTATCATTCCACCCGTAATTCCTCCTCCTCACCATCACCTTGTTGGAACATCTGACTCTCCCCCTTCTCATAGACCTCAGGACGTCTGTAGTATACTCCAATGATAAGTCCATCAGTCCATAGACCCATCTATCATTCCTCCCGTAATTCCTCTGCACTATCACCACCTCCAACCACAAGGTCATCTTTCTTCCTCACTTTCACATCACATCTAACATAGAGAAACCTCCCTCCATCTTTTCTATGTCCTGGGTCCCTCTAAAGAAGAGGATCAGTAGGAATACAAACAGCCCAGTCTTGGGAGGAACCAAGCCGTGTTTCTGGAACCCCAACTCCATTCTCATCACTGAGAACATCACCATCTTCCATTCTGCTCGGCAGGTTGCTCACTCGGTTACTAGTTGACTCTGACTTGAATTTGTATGTCTCTGTCCTGATTTTAAGGATTTGCCTCTGACCTAGCAGTGTGGGTGTGTGTCTGACCAGACGTTGTGTGTGTGTCTTCACATATGAGTTGCACCCATGTGTCCTCAAAGAGCTGAGTTCTGTTGTTTCAAACTCATTATTTCTAATTTTTCAAGACTCTTTCATTACTGGCTCAGTACCCATACACAAGGCCAGTGTGGTGCCTATATTCAAAAAGGGATCAAATTCTTTACCAAGTAACTACAAGCCGGTTAGTATAACTTCTATAGGTGGGAAGATACTGAAGAGTTTAATAAAAGACCTCAGGACGTCTGTAGTAATACTCCAATGATAAGGCCATCAGTCCACAGACCCATCTATCATTCCTCCCCCCCCCCTTATTTCAAACTCATTATTTCCTCACTTTCAGATCACATCTAACAGAGAAACCCCCCCTCCATCTTTCTATGTCCCGTGACCAACTCCATTCTCATCACTTAAACCACTAACATCACCCATTCTGCTCAACGGGTTGCTTGCTCGGTTACTAGCTGATTCTTGACACGGTGTGTCTCCCTATCCTGAGATTATGTGTGTGTCTTTGACCACATGACTTAAACCCATGTGTCCTCAAAGAGTTGAGTTCTGTTTTTTTTTTTAAAAACTTCCTGTTTCTAATTTTTAGAGATTCTTTAATGATTGGCTTGGTACCACTACGCAAGGGGTCAAAGTCTTTACCAAGTAACTACAGACCGCTTAGTTTTACTTCTATAGTCGGGAAGATGCTTGCAGGTTTCTGATTTTTGTAGAGCAAATTAATTGGTTATATTGCAACATAATTTGTACTGAACTATTATGTTTCAAAAGGATGTAGAGATGTCCTTATTAACACCTTCCTGCCCGGCCTATAGCAGATTGACTGCCAGGCTTTACACTCGCCGTTGTGACTGGGCGTCATATGACGTCCTGTCAAAATGAGCAGCTCACGCGGCCGAGGGGCTGCTCAGCAGCGTGATCTGTCACCGGCTGTGTCCATGTGATGGTCTGGGGCTTCTTTGCAGCTTCAAGACGTGGATGGCTAGCCATAATTAATGGAACCGTGAATTCTGAGCTCTACCAGTTGAGTACTGTCCGTGATACTTTTTTTATTTGCAATAACATACAGTTTTGAGGACAAGCTTTCGGGGTATGTCCCCTTCTTCAAAGTCCAAGCAGAACTATTACAAATCACAAAGTTTAAGCAGAATGTTAGAAGGGATGAAAAAAAAAAAAGGCTAGAGATAAGATACAGCAAAAGCAAGGGGGGGGGGGGGGGGGGATACTACACTCACACAGAATTATCATTCTTAGTTCAAACGTTTTTCTTTCCTGAATGGATTTGAATCTTCCTTTCAGAACTAAAACATTGAGGTCTCCCATTGTGTGGCCTGGTTATGCGAAATGGTGTCCTACAGGTATGCAGAGATCATCTTCTTTATGTTCCTTGATGGTATGTCTGTGCAAATTCATCCTTGTTTGCAACTTCTGTCCTGTTTCGCCAACATAAGATCCTTTGTTACATTTTCTGCACTGGATAAGGTACACATTACTGGAGGTGCAGCTCTATGATCCGGAGATATTGAAGATCCCTTTTGAGTGTCTGACACTTTTTGGTGGATTGATTTGGTTGCACAGTTTGCAGCGTTTTTTTATTGCAGGGTTTGATTCCATTATTTGTGACATCTTGATCAGAAGGAAGTTTCCTACTGATTAGTTTATTTCTGAGGTTGGGGGGGTTGTCTGAAGGCCAGTATTGAGGGTTGCTGGAATATTTCTTTCAGAGTTCCATCCTCTGTTATGATGGGTTGTAAATCTTTGATTATTTTTCTTCTTCCTTCTAGTGCTGAGTTGTATGTGGTTACTAGAGGTACACGGTTGTTTGTTTTTTTCTCCTTGTACTGAAGTAGGTTTTCTCTTCGTGTTCTCAAGGCTGTGTTTATGCTTGGTGTTGATAGTTTTGTCCTTGTAACCTTTCTTATGGAAGGAGTCTGCTAGTGTCCCGAGATGTTTATCTCTGTCTCTTGGGTCAGAACATACTCGGTGGTATCTAATGGCCTGACTGTGTATGATGGCACGTTTCATGTGTTGGGGGTGGAAGCTGGAACTGTGGAGGTAGTTGCATCTGTCAGTGGGTTTCCTGTATATTGAGGTGTGAAGCGTATCATCCCTGATGTATACTGTGGTGTCTAGGAAGTTGACATGTGTGTTTGAGTATTCCATTTTTATTTTGATTGATGGATGAAAAGTGTTGATCAATGATTAAAATTATTTTAGGTTTTCTTCACCTTCTGTCCATATGATGAAAATATCATCAATATAGCGATAGTATCTGTATGGTTTTTGTTCCATGCTGTTCAGGAATTGTTCCTCCAGATCAGCCATAAATAAATTGGCATATTGGGGTGCCATTTTACTTCCCATCGCAGTACCCATACATTGAAGATAGATGTCTTTATTGAAGGCAAAGTAATTGTGTGTAAGTATGAATTCAATGAGCTGTGTAACATCCTCAGCAGTGTATTTGTTGTTTGGTGAGGATGATAAGGATCTGTGACATGCAGCTAATCCATCCTTGTGAGGGATATTACTATACAGGGATACTACATCCATAGTCACTAGAAGTGTATTAGATGGTAATTGCTGGATGTTGTTGATCTTGTTCAGAAAGTCAGTTGTGTTTTGCAGGAAACTAGCAATATTCATGACTAACGGTTTTAACATTTTTTCTACAAAGCCTGAGATTTGTTCGGTGAGTGTATTCATACCTGTTATGATGGGTCTGCCTGGATTTCCTGGCTTGTGGACTTTAAGCAGCATGTAGAAGTCCCTGATTTCTGGATGATCCGGAATCGCATTTATAAGTTCTGAATGTAGGTGGGCTGGAAGTGTTTTAATGAGACCTTTTAATTGCTTTGTAAAGTCCTGGGTCGGATCATAATCCAGTTTTTTTATA